GATTCAAGTGGAATTGCGCCATTAATCACCTCTGAATGATTGTTCTGATTGCTTCATTTGTTGATGCTGCTGTTGCTGAATTTTATAGTGCTGTGTTTGACCTTGGATGGGGGTCCAGTCTCTGGGAAGATAAGGTGGGCTCCTCTTGCACTGGAGTGCTAACTTCCTGTGTGAATCATTACAATATCTAAAAACACTAGGCTGGAGGCTGAGACTCCTAAAAAGAGCTCAATAAACAGCCATGGCATGAATGAAGGAATGGTTCACTGCAATTCATCAGTGTTTTTCCTAAGGACTTACTTAAGGCAAGAGTGGTAAGGTAGGCAGACCCAGATGAGGGAGTAGACCAGCTGGGAGGCCTCCTGGCACCAAAATAATAGTTCTGGAAAGAGATTGAGGCTGCCCCAATAGTGATGAATGGAGTTGGAAAGAATTTCTTAACACGTCACTGCTGGGAGGTTAGAGGATTTTGCCAAACAACAGCAACATGCCTTCAGCTTTCCCAGTCCCAAAATAGTGCTTATGGTACGGGAAGTGCTCTCCCCATAAGTATGGTAATGGGAAACTCAGAGATTGGCTGTTGCCTACTCTTTCGCCCCTGTTGTCTGGTCTCTGTCCTCCCCATTCTTCTCACTTTTTCACCAATTGTATCAATCACTATTTGGTTGAAAATTCAATTTCTCTGCCACTCAATGGCATCTGACCCTATATCTCAGCTGCCCTTTCTGAAACAGTCTCTTCTGCGATTTTCCCTGATCCCAGATTCACAGTTTTCATATCTCCCTGACCAACTCTCCAAAGTCTCCTTTGAGGCATCTGCATTCATTACCTATTGCTAAGTAATAAATGACCTCCATGTTCAAAGTCTTAAAATGGCATTGATTTGCTCATGGTTTCTTAGGGCCAGGACTCTGGAGCAATTCACAGGGTGGCGTAGCATAGCTGGGTGGTTCTGGCTAGGGTGCTCGTGGACCTCTCATTGTAACCTTCATTCATTTATCATTTTTGAGAGTCCTTTTCCAAGATCTTCCAATTTCTGTCCCACGGTGTTGGCAGCAGGTTTCAGGACCACCCTGTCGGAACCTCTCCCAAGGGTTACTCATAACACAGCAGCTGGATTGTCCCAGAGCAAATGACCCAAGAAGAGGAAGTGTGTGCAACTGAGATAAAAGCCATGACCTAAGCTCTGCAGTTAAATAGCGTCACTTCTGCCCACGTCATCATGCAGGTCAGCTCTGATACCAAATGGACGAGGATCACACAGGATGTAGATACAGGAGATGACACTGGGGCCATCTTGGAAGCTGTCCCCAACAATGTCCTTCTTCACTGACCCTTACATGCTAGTGTTCACAGGATGTCATCTTCATCTCTTATCCTGTCTCAATCTCTGCCTGTGCCCTGGATCCCATGCTGTCCCTTTCTACCTTCAGTCACTGAGTCTGCACACATTATTGGCTTGCTTCCCTCTCAGCAATGCCAGGCTCAGACACTGTCTGTGGACCCCAGAGCATCTCCAAGTCCTCATATTCAGCCCACGCTTGTCATTATGCCCATGATCATCTCGTTTTCTCCCCCTGTGTTTCCATCTCAGGAGTGACAATGCTCTCTCCCCAGTTGCTGAGGAAGAAACTGGAAAATCACTCTTGACTGCCCTCCCCTTTCTGTCAGCTCTAATCGGTGACTACCAAGAGCAGTCAAGATTTTTTGTTGGTTTTTATTTTCTCCATCTTTTTTATTTTGAACACTTTCAAGCCTATAGAAATATGACAAAATAGTAAAGTCAGCTTTCATTACCCAGACGGCCTTTGATCTTTCCCCTTCTCATCTCTCCCCCACTTTTTTTTTTTTTTTTTTTTTGGTCTTTTTCCTTTTTATCAGTACCGGGGATCGAACCCATGACTGCCTGCTTACAAGGCAGGCGCTTATGCCGCTGAGCTAAATCCCCAGCCCCGATATATTTCATAATACTACTAAAATGCTGTCTGCCTTTTTACTCTGATGCTTTCACAGTTGTATCATGTGTGTATCAGAGTGTGCTGGGTCATTGGAAAGTGGCAGGCATTATGAGACCTCATCTCTAAGGATTTTTCCATGCAAAACCTAAAATGAAGATGTTCTCCTACTCAGCCAGAGTACAATACCTCAAAACCATCCAGGGTGCTTTGCTTTTCTCGATTCCTCTCACAGAGCCACTGTCTTCAGGCCACTAGGTCCACTCCCTTTTGGTAGAGCCATCATCTCCCCCCTGCCCCCCTTTCACGCCGAGCTCCACACCCCAGCCAGAGCGAGCTTCCAAGGTACCAGTTCCTGTGTGTCTTTTCCTACTCCTGACTTTCAATGCCTCCACTTTACCTACAAAATGAGGAATAAGTTTCCTGAGGCACATGAAAATCTAGCTTAATCCATAAGAGAATTACCCAGTAGAAATACACTGTCAACCATATATGTTGTTTAAATTTTTCTGGTGGTCACAGTTTAAAAACAAAAGATTGACATTAGTTAAAATTCATTTTAATTAATCCAATGTATCAAAATACTATCATAGTAACACAGTGTCAATACAAAAAGTGCTAATGAGTGGACACTTCCACTCTTCTTCTCCTCCAGGTTCTCAAAACCTGGCATGCATTTAATTCACATGGCACATTTCAATTTGGATGCTAAATTTTCTAGGGTTACAGTAAAATGTATTTCTACTGAAACTCTTCAGATTATGCTTGACAAACAAAATCTATATAAAATTGTTTTTAAGTTTGAGTTACTGAGATTAGATAAGACTGGAAGTTACGTTCCTTATTCGCATTAGCTGAACTTTGAGTTCTGGGCAGCTGCACTTCTAGAGTGGCAATTCTCAAATGGGGACCTGTGGTCCCCTGGAGGTGCCTGTAACACTCCTGAACAGTTTCTGAGGTCCAAACGATTTCCACCAAGATGCTATTTGCCTCCTTCACTTTCATTCTCTCGCAAGCGGCCACCTGTCATATGCTACCACCCTCAACACAGAAGTCTGTAAGAGAACGGCTGTCTAGAAGCCAGACCCCAGAGAGATTAGCTGAAGTAGAAAACAAGGTCACTCTTTGCCCTAATTATTTTTCTTTGGCAAAGTATGACTATGTTTCATTAAAAAATGTGTTATATATTATGTAATGGGATAGTTATAAATGTTTGGTTTTAATTTCTTTCTCTCATTTTTCACTTTCTTTTCTTTTCTGGGGGAGGGGTTTGCTGGGGTTTGAACCCGGGGGCTCGTGGATATCAAGCACATATTCTCCCACTAAGCTATGCACTCAGCTGTCTTAGTCTCTGATACAGTAATTATCAGTACGTGCGGCACTCAAAATCAGAAGCTTTCTGGAGTCCTCAGTAATTTTGAATGGTGAAAGAGGATTTTGGAACTAGCTGCCTGACTCTCTAGTCTCATGCCTTGAGATTTCCTCTCCTTCCTCATGTTTTTGGCTTGAACTTCCAGTTCCAGGAAAGATGCAGTAGACACCCTTCTCCCTATTCCTATTGATGAGTCCTTCTATAACCCTGCTTACTATGCATCTACAAAACCTAAGAAGACTGATAGATGGAGATAAGGCAGGAGGACTAGGGAGCTTGGACTTGAGGAATGCCATGGCACTTGGGTGCTGTTGTTTGGACAAATGGAGACAGAAATGCCACCCTGGCCCCTCCTCATGCCCCCGGTGCCCCACAGAGACGAACAGCTGAGTGGAGAACTTAGACCACCAGCTCAAAGTCACAGGAAGCCTGCTAGGGCAGGAGATTGTCAAAAGACCCAAGTCTTATAACACGATACCCTAGATGTCCGGATATAATGGAAGACCACTATTACATCAGGAACCAAGGAAGTCTCAACCAAGACTCAGAGAGACAATGAGCACATGCCAACACTGAGAGGCTGGAGGAAGCCATCTGTCCGGGGTTTTAAAGCAACCGTCACATGAAAGCCTCAAGGACCAACGATAACACACTTGAAACAAAAGAGCAGAAAGCAAGTTCTAAAGACGTAAGGTAGAACACATAAAGAACATAAATGAGCTCCTACTCGGCAGCTCTACACCACAGCACTGATGCCCCAAGCTGACCCATATCGTCATCATCTGCCCAACTTGAAGACCACACAAAGGCACTGTGATTTATCCTGTGTCCCTGTCGTAGCAATCACTCAAAACATTTCAAGATAGAAATAGATGAATAAACCAAAACTCTCCTGTGGCACCCCCTTTTCTATGGAATAAAATCAACCCCTGTGCAGGCCCTACACAACAGCAATAGCTGACCATGTGGGTACTCAGCTTTTCTTAATCCATCCTGCGTCTCAGCTACGCTGGGAATCACACTGTCCTTGAAGGCTCCTTCTACTTCCCTGACTCCACAACTTGTATGTGCTCCCCTACCTCCTTAAATGTCTCACTCACCATTGCCATCCAAACCCTCCCCACTGCCAGGGACCCACTCCGATGCCGTCTGTCAGGGACCCAGTCTTGGACGTCTCCAGTGGGAAGGAGTCTTGTCCACCTCTAGATGCACAGCCCTTCACTTAGCATTGGTTTTTCACTTGGGTCTTAAGTTTGTTTTGCAGTTAGCTTGTTCCTTTGAATGTACTTGTCACATTCTCTACAAGATTTTAAAATCTGAAGATCCAACTAAACTAACTGTCCTGGGCCTCAGCTGCTAAGCCTCTCCCACTCCTCTGTGGGTTTCTTTTTTTTTTTCCTGAAAGGAGAGTACCTGCATCATTGGAATCCTGTGCCTGTCAAAACACACTAAATATTGGTTCCATTTCTCAGTTTTCATAAGTGCTGAATAAATGTTAGCTGTAGTCATTGTTACAGAATTACCTTTAAGAATAAATTGACGGAGAAAGCGCTACTGGCCCTGTCCTTAGGACGTCTTTGGAATCCCTACCTCTTTCAACACTGCCACTTGCTCCTGCTGTGACCTCTCCCTTGACCCTCTCTTCTCCTTCTCCCCTATTCACCCCTCTGCAGCTGGCATGGCCTTTTAAAATGTGAGATCACATGACTTCTCTGCTGGAAATGCTCCAGTGGTTTCCAGTAAGAGGCCCCTATGCCTCTCCTGTGCTCCCCCCTATGCTGCTCCAGCGACCTGCCCTCTTCACGCAGAGGCCTCTGCACAGCACAGCTGCATCCGGGTCTTTGCACTCACCACTTCCTCGAGGTAGGAGGATCTCCCTCATCAGTCTGTAACTTCTGTTAAGCAAATCTCTGCTATCCACTGAATGTCTTAAAGAGTGATCGCCTTATGCACCATCATGCTGCACTCATCAGCTCTTATTTGCAGTTTGAGTTTTCATTGCTTCAGTTACCTGTGGTTAATCATGGTTTGAAAACACTAAATGGAAAACTGCAGAGAAGGGCAGTCCCCATGTTTTAAATGGCATCTCCTTCTGAGGAGTGTGATGAAACTGTTCACTGTCATGCTCTGTCCTGACCCAGACCCAATCCTTCCTTTGTCCAGGCTGTCCATGCTGCAGGTACCACTTATTCGCTGGTCAGTTGTCAGCAGTCCTGGCCTACAAGGATCAGACATGTACAGGGCATCTCAGAATATACCCCTTCAATAAAGAGACTTCTGTGTTTTGTTTTGCACATCTCTTAACACAGCCTGAAAACATTTGTTTACTGAGATGAAAATAACTTGTCATCTTTCTCCTGGGCTAGAACCGTGAGCCCCATGAGTAGTCTCTGTACCCTCAGGAGAAGAGTGACTGGCACATGGGAAGCGTTCAGGCTGCCCTGCTGAGTGACTGAATCCTGTTGTACAAAACGGCTCACCCACCCCTGGGTTTCTGTGAGGAGGAAATGTGGGACTGGTCTAGCTAGAAAGGCTGGGATGGAGAGGACCTCTTTATCCATTTGAAAAGAAAACACCAGGAGAAGATGAGGGCAAGGTGCTCTGAGTAGGGGCCCCCAGCCTCCTGGGGGTTGGATACTCAGAACCTGCTCAGGGGAGGCCCTCCGCTGACCCTGTCACTGAGCTTAAGGGGTTCACAGCACCAGCTGGAGGAGCCCAGAGGCCTCAGGTGACAGGAGGAAAGGGAACATTGTACATGAATTCTAGGTGATGCAGGAGCCGAACCCTTTCTCTGAACCTGCCTTCGTATTTAGCTGCACAAGGAATTAGGTTGAAGGTATCCTTAAAATCCTCCCCACCGGTGCCTTTCTAAGGTTACGGGAGCTTTGCCCGTGAGATCCATTGAACCAGCCCGCGAAGGGTGGGGTGAGAGTGCTGAGAAACTCAACGTGGAGGAGCTCAGCACAGCCACCAGGTGGCGGCATTGCCGCACCGAGGTGCTCGGGTCGGAGGCGGGGCGGGGGGAGGGGGTGTTGATTTTCCAGGAACCAAATTAAATCCCTCAGGGCCAGCTCTCTGGCTCTCACTGGGAACTGGCCTCCGCTCCACCCTATTCCCAACGCCCACTTGCCCCTTCCCCACAAAGGCCACTTGCTCAGAAGCCCGGCCAGGTGATTCTAAGTAGCCCTCCTCCCAGGAGTGCTGGGAGTGCAGGTCCGGGACCCCTTCCTGTCCCCCTCACCAGACCTGCAGGTGGTCACACTTCTGGCCACGTGCGCACTAGATGGGCTTTTCCTTCCAGATGCCTTCCTCCCTCTTGCAGTCCCCCAAATCAAACTCCTGTTTTCAGGTGATTCAGGAGAGTCCCTTCTGAGTCCTCACCCCGGCTGAGTCCAGGAGAGGGAATCTCTGGTTAGAGCAGCTGGAGAGCAGGAAAAGAGGGGTGTGCGCGCCAGCCCGCCAGTGTTCACAGGGTGCTAGTGGGAAAGGTCTGGCTCTGTCGAGATAAGAATAGAAGAATCAACCTTTGTTTGGCCTCGCCTGGCTCAGCCACTGTTGACACCCAGGCCGGTGTTTCCTGAGACTCCAAGGTGTCCGGGCAGCAGGGGCCACTTCCCCGTTTCCTGTGGCTGCGGGAGAGGCTGCATCTGGAGGCTGGGGGAGGAGAGCGCTTACAGATGCTGTGGGTGCTGGGGGTGGGAGGCAACGCTCCTCAAGCTGGCAGCCAGCTCTCTAGGACTGTCCCCAACAGTGAACAGGCCTTCAGTATTCCTGTTCTGACTTGGGGGAGAGGATAGTCAGTCAGTGCGGCTCACACTTTTTCTCACATGGGGGTTCTGAAGTCCTCAGCATCCCCACCCAGAGCTCTGCTCCAGCATTTGAGCCTTCATCTCTAACACTAGCAACAGCTGGATTCCTTGTAACCACCCATTCCCTCACCCCTCTGAGGGGAACAGTCGGCCAACTTAGCCACAGGTCCTCAGCATCCTGCATGTGACGATGATGCCTCTTCCCTGGCTATCCCCTTCCCAGCACATTCCTGTGCAGTCCAGGTGCATCGGATGGGAAGCCACTCAGTCAGGCACACCCAGGCCAGCCACAGAATATAGGTTTCAGTATCACTTTATTCAGTATCACTTTAATTACAATATTTACACACATCCATTTTTTATTTAGGAAAAATACCCACAATCTTCTCATCTCTGGAAATTTCTATTTCCAACCGTCACTGAAAGCAGGACCTCTGCTCACCCCTCTGGAAAAATGACAAGACCTGGATCATCCCCAGAGGAGGCAGTGTGTGGTCCCTGGGAGATGTGCTGGGGTTGTGACCACACAGGGTGCAGCACAATGTAGGCATTTATAGTTGGGAAGGCAGAGACAGAAGGGTCTACCAGGAGACTCTGAAGCCTCCACTCTACTAGGAGAAAGGGAAAAAGGGGTGGGCCATGGGGGTCAGAGGAGTGGGCTAGACCCAGCATAGTGCAAAAGGGCACTTCGGAAGAGCACCGGGCAGGAGGCTCTGCTCAAAGATCCTGTCCTATGACCCTGACCACGGGGACCTGAGGACAATCTGTGTGGCCCGGAGTCCAGGACTGAGTGGTTTGTTCTAACATGTGGAGAGCAACTCCAGGCTACAGACAGAATGCTGCTCCGGCCTCTGTAGGCATTGGTCGGAGCACGTGTGGAGCTCAGTGGAATCTGGACAGCACGTGGGGAGCTGGTGACAAGATTTAAAATGTCTTGGAGGAGATACATGGGAAATTTTCTGGCTACATTATTAAGGGGAACAAGCTCAAGGCATTACTTTGGTTTCTGCAAAGCAGAGAAAGAAAATAGAACAAGGAACAATAAAGCAAAAGCCTCCTGGGAGAATCGCATAGCACAGGAAGGACCACCCTTCCCCTCAGGCTCTTGTGGCACCGAGAGGGAAGAAGCTGGCTGGCGAGTCCCACACAGCAACAGCTGGGCTCACAGCTTCACTCACAGCTCCTCTGGATCCCGGCTTTCCCCCACACCTGAGCCTAAAGAAGCCCAGAGTCTGGGTACCGAGAGCGGAAGGCACAGAGGGCTGGGGTCTACTTGCCTCCCTGTGAGGTGGCAAGCCCCAGGGGCATCTGGGGTGTGCACAAGGGGAGAAGGTAGGACATGAGGGATACTACCTCCATCATGGAGGCAGCTCACAGTCAGAGGCAGGGAGGGGCTGCTTCCTTGGACACCCCCTGTCTTGCCCCACCCAGCCAAGTCACAATTCGGTATCAGCCACATGTTGTCTTGCTGAATGGCCGTTTCTGGAGGTGGCTTGGCCGGTCCCGTTCTCCTGAGCCCCTCGGTTCACACTGGCCTTTCCCTGAGCCTCAGAGGAGGCCCCAGGGCCTGAGCTATATCCCTGGCCTCCACTGTTCTCCGTGCAATAAGGGTCTTCACCCTAGACAGTGTATAAATAAAGGAGCATTATCTGTTAAGCAAGGGTGTGAGGCACTGTGAGTGGGGAGGGACCAGAAGAGGGGGAAGGGATGCAGCTGTCTTTGCAGACTCCTTCCTTCCTGGAGAGCGGGCCGTCAGGGTTCCAGCTCCTAGAGGAGAAAGGATAGAGGAGAGGCACCACACGGGGTCAGCGCAGCTCAGCAGCCAGCTCCCATGAGAACACTACAGTCCCATGGTGGAGTGACCTCCCCAGAGCAGGTTAAAACCCAGAGACCAGGAGCCAAATGTCAGCCTTGTCCTCCCTCATTCAGAACCGTAGGAACAGATTTTCCTTCCCTATGTCCTCTTCTTGTAAGCAAGTGACATACACTGGACATTTAGTGAGCTTCCAGATAGGCGTGGCTGACCTAGCAGCTGGTTCTGATTGTACCCAGCTAAACATCACAAAGAACGTAAATGAGATGAATCATCTGTCATGATAGTGAGCAGTGGTGGACCCCAGTTGCCCCACCTCATGTATCCATGGATAGGAGTCTGCATGTATCCATTCTGTACATCAGGGCATGTAAATGCTTTATGTGCTATTTCTTCCTGCTATGATATCCACAAACCTCCCTCTTATTCCTGTTGCCTGAGGCCCCAAAACTGACCAGTCTTTCTCCTGCGGGGCTCCAGCTGCGGCGGTTCATCAGGAAATAGCCAGTGGTGCCCAAGATGGCCAGCAGGATTCCCGAGGTGACCACTGCAATCAGAGTCTTTCGGGAGTAGCTCTGGTGGCTCCCAATATCTTGTTCCCTGAAACTGTGGATCCCCAGCTTGAGAAGACACAGAGAAGGCAGCTAGTCACACAGGGGAAGAATTCTCGAAGAGTATCTCAGTCCATTCTAGAGTATGCAACTCAATAGTGAACAGATCTAAGAGGACATTGATTGCAAGTATTTCTGTAACAGAATTAAGATGCACATCTCTTAATTGAGCTGCACTGTTGAAGTTCTGGCTCAAACCCAGGAAGATAAAGACTGTCATAGAAAGATGGAGCGACAGGAAGTGAAGGACTAGGGGAGAGCATCACTTCCTCCCCTGTTCTGTGAACACACCTGATGCAGTGCTCCCTCAAGACCCACCACCTTAGAGAGTTTACCTTTTCCAGGTCAGACTTGTGCTTCTTCAAAAGACTGATTTTCCCGGAAAGTTCTAGAATTAGAAACACGATTGCCAAAGCTAAATGAGCTCATCCTTCTCTGTCCTCTCACACCATTCTAGAGGATGCTCTCCTGGCGAGGGTGGTCCCTGTCACCCAATCCTTTCCCACCACTTGTGGTCTCTGGAACTGCGATATGGAGTCCCCATCACGGACCTTCTCACCTCAGTCCTACCTGCCCGCAGCCACATGCATTCCCCAGCGCCCCACGCAGGTGTGCCCATACCTGTGCTGTTGGCGAAGACCAACAGCAGGCACTGTGGTTGAACCTCAGACTGGGCGAGAAGCAGGGAGCACGTGGCAGTCCCAGCAGTGGGCTCAGCCTCCTCCTTCCCACACAGGATCTGGATCAAGTCCTCTCCTGTGTTTTTCTTAAAGTCCTCCTGTGAAGAGAGAGAAAATAATTACTGGTATCCGGAGTCTCAGATGAAAATTTTCACTGAAATCTCATTTCTAGTCTCAAATTCCTGGCAGGGGGTGGTGGCAACGTACTGCCAACTGTATAGGTGCAAGACTATAGTAACTGAAAAGTTCCCAATGCCCAATCATGTAGCTATCAGTATTGAAGACATCAGAACAAATTAGGAAACACTGTCTTTTTTTTTTTTTTTTTTTTTTTTTGCTTTTTGGTATAAGGAATTAAAACTTGAAACTGGAACTTGCAGGCAGGCATTTATGTCACTGAGCTATATCTTCAGCTTCTTTCATCTTTCCCTACCTTCCTCCCTCCCCCCTCCTCTTCCTTCTCTCTCTCTTTATAAAGAGGAAATAGTACTAGGAATTGAACCCAGAGCCTTCCCACTGAGCTACATCTCTAGCCCATTTTTTATTTTCACAGTTGCCACACTGCCCAGGACGGTCATGATCCTTCCTGCCTCAGCTGTGCAGGTGTGTGCAGCTACACCCAGCAACCTCATCTTATTTAAGGGTTGCCATGTGCAGATATGCCATGCAAACTGAATTCAATTGTCAAAGACAGAAAACATCAATAAAGCAATAATACTGAAATCTTTTGCTTGAAGGTTGAACAGCCTCAAATACCAGCAGGAGAGCCAAGAGAGAACACATCTATGCATGCAGGCTCAAACCGGGTCATTAGAGCCTCCAGGGGAGGCCACCAAGAGCCTTGCTCAAAGCACCATCGTGTTCTTATCTGGTCCTCCCTTATCCTGCTCTACTCAAAACAGGAAGCCCAGTTTATTGAAATTCACAGATCTTTCTCCAAGTTTCTGACTGGTCCATAAGACCCAGAACTCAAAATGAAGATCACTAGGTTACTCAACAAGTGACTCTTAGGACAGGTTGCCTCAGGGCACTGGCTATGCCCTTTAAAACCCTGTTCTCCCTTTCCAGGCCTTCTTCTGGAAGGCTGTAATGTGAGGTGGTCTCCCTGCAGCTCTCCTGTTCTGAGGGCAGGTGGCAGAGGAGGAAATGCCAGAGGACTCTGACAACTTTCCTGTAGGGGAAACCGCTGGGCGTGTGACGAGTCAGGGGACTTGGGCCTCTACATTCGTGGCTTCTGGCAGTGCCAGATACCCTCCCCGTTGGAAAGGAGCCTGGGTATTTTCCCAGTCCTGAGACCCAAGGGAGGAAAACCCAGGTTCCTCTGCTCCTGAGCAAGACAAGGTCAAGATTGGCCTCAGGCCTCTGCTGGGATGTGAGGAAAAATCTGAAGGAAAATAACTGGGCTTAGAGAGGCTGGAAGTACACAACTGACCAGTCCAGCTCAGAGCCCCACGAAAGACCAGGACATGGAGAAATGAATGCTCAGGCGTCTACAACATCACCTTAGAAAAGAACCAGTTCCGGTTTCCCAGTCAGTCTGGTATAGAGGCCCAGCTTCTGGAAAAATCCTCCTCCTTAGCAGCCTGTGGTCAGTAGTGTGGACACCACACTGGACACAAGCAGTCTCCTATCCTGAGTGTCAGGGTGCCCTCCAGAGATGCTTCTCCTAGACGAATCCCCACATCCCCTGCCCTGAATGAAACACCCTCTTGCCACCAGGCCTGTGGGAGGGGGGTGGTTGTCCACAAAGTGGTTCTGGGTAAAATGTGTCTGCATCACAGACAGAGGGACGGACCCCCCTAACAGATTTACATCAGCCAGAAAACAGCATCTTTCTGATGCCCATCGCTGATCAGCTGTGGCTTCACACTGACCATCTGCCATGTCTTGAATCAAAGGCCCCTTGTGAAAAGCTGTGTGTGTGTGTGTGTGTGTGTGTGTGTACACACATGTGCACACACAGAGGTAGGGATGGGAGTAAAAAGAGTAACTGATTTCTTATGATCAGAACTCTCATTCCACATGCATAGCAGTTAAATGCTGTAGTCCAACATGACAGCCAGGTGTGGTTGCTCACACCTGTAATCCAGCATTCAGGAGGCTGAGGCAGGTAGATCCCAGCCAGAGACCTCAACAACAATTTTTTTTCTTTTGGTACTGGGTGTCGAACGCACGACTTTGAGAGTTCACCAAGTAGGCACTTACACCACTGAGCTAAACCCTCAGTCCAACAAGAATTTTTTAAAAATTAATTTCTCTTTATGATGTCTAGGGAACTCTCCAAAAGTGGTTTTCAGACACTGATCCCTTTGGACTCTACTAGCTGGATGCTATTTTTCTGGTTATTTTGCAGATGGAGAAATGAAAACAGAAAGAGACTATTTATAGGGTCTGAGTGGTAAAAAAAGGTTCAACACTGAAGTGCTCTGAACACACAGGAGGCTGTGGACAGGTCTGGCTTGAAGTTAGCAGAAACACCTCAAAGTGGGGCTGGAGAGTAGGTGAAGCTAGCAGGGAGGACCCTCGAGAACCCCAGACCAGGGATGTGACAAGAACAGTAGGTGCCCACCTGCTGACTAGGAGGCAGAAGGTGCCCCACAACACCTTCTCCTTGGCAGCTCAGTGTAACCCTGCCTCCGCGGGGGCCAGACTCGTCTGCTTCACGCAGACTGAACACCAACCCTCTGCTCTGCTATTTACCTGAATCTTCACAAGTCATGCAGCCAGTCTAAGAATCCAGCTCCTCCTCACCTGTACACTGAATTGTGGTGGCTACAGTGAAACTGAATGAAGAATGTCCATAGGGTTAGGAACCTGGAGGGCATTAGGGAAATGACAGTACTCCTATTATTGATAATAGCAGTACTGTTGACTATCATCTAGATCATTTAATACTGGGGACTGAACTGAAGGCTTTTGCCCTGAGCTACATCCTCAGCCCTTTTTATCTTTATTCTAAGATAGGTTTTGCCAAGTTGCTAAGTTGCACAGGCTGAGTCCAAGCATGTAATCCTCCTGCCTCAGCCTCCCAGAGTACTGAAATTACAGGTGTGTGCCATCATGCCATTTAGAATTCATATTTTGATCATATTCTGTAGTACTGCTATTGCTGTTTGTCTCTGAATAGACTGCAAGCGTGGGCCTGAGAAGGAAGGGAGTTCATCATATAACTTCAGATCCAAACTGCACATTCATCACAGCACCAAACAAACAAAAGCACTCAGGGAACCACAGTCCAACATGACAGAGTAGCCGGCCTCCTCACAGGCTCCCTCCATCCCTGGGTTAGCTCCTTGGACTAAATTCAAGGGTGTAACAACAGCAGCCAGCCTCCCACTCTGGAATCCAACAGCCTGGATGAATTGTGTTTAGGTCGGGAGGAGCAGGTGGGTCCTGAACAAAGCACAGTGCTTCTCCGGATGCTGGGAACCAACATCCTCCCTCAGGGATGCTATGGGCAAACATCACGGGAGAGTGGGCAGCAGGAAGCCACAGCCGCGCCATCCTCTTCATGCGAATCAGATTTACAAGCCCCTGGCTGCAGTTCCTCACTTGCAAAAACAATGAAAGCAGTCAACCTTTCCAAAAGTTCCTCCAACTCTGCAAAGTCTCCCAACCCATTGAAGCCCCTCTTGCTTGCACAAGGCACTGGACTGGGGAAGACCTTTAAATATTTCCTAATGGTAGGCTTCTAGGACTGAACCTTTCCTACTCGCCATCTCTGCCCAAGTTCTGCTGCCTTCCTGTGTGAGTTTGACAATGCGCATTAAAACCACAGTTTTATGTTGGGATGGGAATAATTAAGGGACCTGCTACTAGTCAAACTGCAAGAGGGTTGTTGCCCCAGGGCAGGGGGCTCCAGAGTCCCCAGCTCTTTGGCTCCTCCAGCAGAGGCACACTGTCCTCATACATCCACATCTGTAATTCATGCTGTCTGTACAGGGACTGACCTTTAGTGTCTGCCGGGGGTGGAGGCAGCCCAGCTCCAATGAAGTCACTGTGACAGAACAGTACTGAGAGCTAACTGGGTAGATGGAAACTGCATGAATACCGATGTGGCAATACAGAGAATTTCAAAAAACAAACTTTGTGGGCATAGCATTTAATTGACATTTCTCCAAAGAAGATTTACAAATGGCCAGTAAGCCTATAAAAAGATGCTCAATGTCACAAGCATCACAGAATTGGAGATGGAAACCTCACTTAGATATCAATTCACGGCCATTTCCAAAAACGGGGGAAAAAACCCAAAAAAACAGTATATAACAGTGTTGAGGAGGATATGGAGAAAGTGGAGCCCTTGTATACCATTCGTGGAAATGAACAATGATATAGCTACTCAGAATAACAGTATGATAGTTCCTCAAAAGTCAAACACAGAGTTACCATGATCCAGCAATGCTCCTTCAGAATGCACAACCAAAAGAACTGAAATCAGGGTGTTGCAAAATTTGCATACTCATATTTTTATAGCTGTATTATTCATAAAATATTCAAAACATGGAAAAAACAAAGTCTATCAGTGCATTAAAGGATAAACAAGATACAGATATAATAAATATATATATACAAACATATTGTATGCCCACACCATAAATGACATATATGCAACACTTCAAAAAGAAAGGCACTGATGATGTCTGCTATCCACGGATGAATCTTGAAAACATGACACTAAGTGGAAGAAACCAGTTGCAAAAAGACAAGCACCATTTGATTCCACTTACACAAGGTGCTTTGAGAATCAGGTTCACAGACAGGGGAAGGAGAACAACAGTGGTTCTCAGGAACTGAGAGAGTGGGGAGTTCTGTATGGGTGAGGACTTTCAGTTACAGAAGATGCAGAGTTCTGGAGATGGGCTGCATAACCAGGCTGAGTGTACTTAACACCAAGAATTGCATGTTTTCAAAGTTAAGGGGTATATTTTACATGCTGTGTATTTTGCCACAATCAAAAAAATATATTTTGGTGAATGCCCCTGGACAAATGTGCATAGCATAAAAATAAAGTCATCTCACAGTTCAGAAACTATTTGGGGAACCATGACCACAAAGACTATATTAAGCAGACACTAGAACTGAGAGGACAAAAATAAAGGCTTGGGGAGACTCTGCTAATAAGGGCTCGGGATTCGGGGTGGAGGTGTCAGAGTCTACAGAACACATGCACAGAAGATGGGTCTTAGTAACTGTTATGGTTTATGTCTAGACATCCCTCAAAGCCTTACAGTGTCATAGGTGAGGCTTTGTGGAGGTGACTGGATCTAGAGTGCTTGATACTGGGATCAAGGATGTGATGCTAGGATTAAGGCTGCCGTCCCTTGCTGTAACTGTTACCTGCCCACACAGGCAGCCTGGATAAACTGTAAGACACAGAACAGGGCTGCTGCTGTTACTGCTTGCACTTTGCTGCTTGATTCTTCTGTACTTTGCTGCCTCCTGCCTTCTGCCAACCACGAACTACCTCTCCTCTGTGATGCTCCTCTGCCAAGCCAACCTGCCTTGCACCCAACAGACTATGGCTGAAATTAACCTCAAGTGCAGGTAGTCTGTCTCAGCAATGAGAAAAGTAACTCAAGACTATAACCTACACAGGAAGAGCAAACATAGCAGTTGTTAGAAATCACTAGTGTGGAAGTGGGTTTTGGACAGCTGAGAAGCAGTTTTGCAGAGTGCCAGGCTGGACTAGATGCAGATGGATACCTACATTATTTGTGTAATTTTTCATGCTCCTCATTAAGCTGTGGATAGGGCCCAAGTATCCCATGGGTAGAACTGAGACCTCAAGAAATTCTGACCCCAAGAGCACAAACACATCTATGGAAAATCAGGAGGCACAGGACTCCTTACAGTCTTAGAGACTGACATGCTATCATAACCCAAGGGACTATCAGACCAGTAGGGAGTAGGAAGGATCCACAGACAAGAATCTGGCATACAACGGGGAGCTATGGCTAGACGTTCTGGATCCAGAACTTCTGACAGAGGAAAAAAGCATGGGAAATAGTAGAAGGCACATGGGGTTGGAAGCTGGAGAAAGGCACTCTCAGAATAAAGGTGAGGGGCAGGACAGAAGCACTAGGGGACATCAGCACCATACATGTGCTGCACAAGCAACGCTGATTAGCACTGGACATGGAGGAGCCCTTCTCTTTCCAAAGGCTACTCCCCAAGTCTCAGGGGAACCTGCAAAGCCCTTCTCAGCTGTGACACAGTGTAAACTGGAGAGCAAAAACCACAATAGGGAAGAGACTGGAGCACAGCAAGAGGAGTTAACTTGTCTTACACAATGGCCCTGGTTCAAGGCAAACTTTGAAGAGTAAGAGACACTTGGGATGCACCACAGGTCACCAAGAAGGAGCCGTCCAGCACAGACAGACCTGAATGACACTCAGGAAAGCAATGTCCAAGATGACAGTGGGGAGAGATGGCTATTTTCTTTCATTTTAATAAACAAAGACTTGAACAATTTTTTCCTAATGAGTAGGATTGAAAATCGGCATCAGAAACACCCTGGCTGTTCTAATAAAACTTTATTTAAAAAAAAGAAAAGAAAAGAAACACCCTGGCTGTTGCTTCTACACAGGATACTTATATTTTGCTGTTTCGCATAATGCACTTATTCTGTTCTATAAACTTTTTTGGCTGTTTCTGGACATTTTTGTTGTTGAGTGATTTTGTTTGTTGAGCGATTTTGTTTGTTTTTTGATACCAGGATTGATTTTGGTTGTTGTTTAATGTCCGAGTAAGTGATTTCTTTTAGTATGCTGACAAGATTTATAAGTCAGAGAGACCAAATTAATACTCACAGGTGAGCTAGCAGTGCTCAGAATGACCACCATAAGTAACTTAAGCCCTTTTTGGACTACAGTCTTTCTGATCTGTGCTTTCCTTAAGTGGGCTTCCAACTGGTAAGACAATGCTCTTTTGGGGGCTGGAGATTTAGCTCAGCGGCATAAGTGCCTGCCTTGTAAGCAGGCAGTCATGAGTTCAATCCCCGGTACCGATAAAAAGGAAAAAGACAAAAAAAAAAAAAAAAAAAAAGAAAAGAAAAGAAAATGCTCTCTTCTGCAAGGAATTAGCACCATGCCCTCCCCAGCATCATCAGGACGCTGGCCTTAGTGAAGCCACAAGGAGGCCCGCTGTCTCCACCAACTCCCTGCCACCCACGTCCTCCTGATGCGGCACAACAGGAATCCGGAACTCCAGGTGGGAGCACCAGAGGGAGAAGAGCAGCACGATGGGCAGGAGACACCGTAGTTTACCTCAAATGCAAGAAAGAACCAACTAAAAAGCTTCCGAAATTAATCTGCAAATTCAAGAAAATGGACAAATCCTAGGTAATCATTCAAAGCTCCGTAACTTTCTAACATCTCGGCAGCAATTCATTAGAGTATATAGTAGGGTAACTGTGCTATTGAAAAACAAACCTTCATAAACCCTTCAAATCTGAGCCAGGTGTGCTACCACATGCCCGTAACCCCAGCACTTTGGGAGGCTGAGACAGGAGGACTGAAAATTCAAACCATACAGACTCAACAAGAGTCTGCTGCACAAAAGGTTTAAAAAAAAAAAAAAAAAAAGACTGGAGATAAACTCTGTGAAAAGAGCCTGGATTTCAACTTAGAGAAAAGGGGGCTGAGGACTCAGCTCAGCACCGGTGGAGTTCTGGATTCCATCACCAGTATTCCCAAAAGAAAATATATGCCAACAGAGTGCAACATTTTCTTTTATCTTTTTTTTTTTTTTTTTTTTTTTTTTTTTTTGAGACAGGGTCTCCCTGTGTAGTCCAAGCTGATCTGGAGCTCAGTATGGAGCTCAGGCCGGCCCAAATGCACAGCAACCCTCCCACCTCAAACCTCCCAGGGTGCTGAGATCACAGGTGTGCCACTATGCCCAGTTTGGCAAAACATTTTAAAAACTAAAAAATATAAAGGAAAGATACAAAATAACTCTAGAAAAAAAGTGAAGGAGTTATTTATTTTTATTATTTGTCTATTTATTTATTTTGAAGCAGGATCTCACTATGCAGTTCAGTCTGGCCTTGAGCTCACTTTGTAGCCCAGGCTGGCTGTGAACTTACAACAATCCTCCCGTCTCAGCCTCCAGAAAACTGAAGGTTTTAAAGTAGTTCTGATTAAAAACCTCAGTGGCTTTCTGTGTGTGCGTGTGTGCACACATGTTATGTGAGTGTGCATGGAGCGGATAGTAGTGTATTTTGTAGTATTTTGACAGATATGTCACCCAAGATTTTCTAAAAGAAGAACTGAGAAATACTTTGCCCTTTTCTACAGTATAATGAGAAAAGACCTTCCTGGCTGGATATTAGAAGCACTGTCGTGAAAAAGTACAGAAGTTTTTGGTTTTTTTGTTTTTGTTTTTTAAAGTTTAAAACAGACAAAAGTATGGAAAAGCATTTTAAGAACATGATCAGAACATATAAAGACAAACTATAAAACTGTAATCCGCTACAACATTACAAGAAAATTAATTCTCTGTAACACAAGAACTGACATTACAGCCGGCTGGTTTATATACAGACAAAGACACTCTTAACATCAAAGCAAATGTAAATAGTACAGAATCAAAAAAACTACAATTAAAATTGTATTTGCCTTTTTTGTCCACCAGATGGGGCCTAGAACTCCAAAACTGAGAATCAGAAGCAGCCGTAAAGGCTGGGGATTTAGGTGAGGGCCAGGGATTTAGCTCAGCAGCATAAGTGCCTGCCTGGCAAGCACACAGTCTTGAGTTCAAGCAGCCAGACCCTGCCCTACTAAGCCCCAGACCCCACCCTTCAAGGCCCAGACCCCACCAAGGCATGGCCCATGGGTTAGGGGAGAAGGGGCGGGGTGACTTACACAGCTGGAAGTCTTGTTTAGCTCCAGGCAGATACTGTGAGTTAATTTCACTTCTTTAACTCCTGCACATTTGATTTCTCCCTGTATTAAAACAAAAACAAAGCAACACACATGACCATCTTTGCTCTTCCATTTTTTTCCTCACACCCTTTCCAGTTTGATTTCCATGAGGCTCTCTATAAAGTTTTAAGGAGAGGGACATTTTAAAAAGTGTTAAGGGACTAGAGGTTTTTCATACAAACTGAGCATCTCCAATTCCAAAACCCAAAATCTGAAATGTTCTAAACTACAAAAGTTTTTGAGAGTCAACACGACACCATGAATAGCGAAGTTCATACCACAAAATCTTGTTTCTGCACAAAATTACTGAAAAACACTGTATGAAGTCTCTTCCAGGCTGAGTGCTGAAGGTGTCTTGTAAGACACGGGTGAATCTTGTGTTTTGACTGAGTCTCTTCCCCAAAATATCTCATTATATATCTACAAATATTTCAGATATTTAAGAGCTCCCAGCACTTAAAACATTTCTGGCTCTGAGCCTTTTGGGCAAGGGATATCAGCTTGTCTTCACCTTCTCCCACCTCCACTGTCTCCACCAATAATCAAGCCTTTTGGTATTTGCCTGGACTTGCAGAAAAGTGACTATTTGCAATCTTGGTAAACATTGGCTTGGATGACGCAGAGGTGGGAGAGTCTTTTCCTGTCGTAGACATTTTCCCTCAACGCAACTACATACAGGCAGGAAGGCCATCTACGCAAACTGCTAATGTGGCCAGAGGGACTCTAGATCCTAGGCTGGCTCTTTAAAAACAGAAAATTGGCCCTTACAGAGCCTTGAACTCCACACCCTCAGGTTGTTGACAGCCACAACCTCAAGGCCAAGGAGGGCAGGCTGAGCTCACCATCTCTGGTGCCCAGTTCTGCCCCTGCCAATGACGTCCTCCAGGCCTCTCCACGCTTGGCACAACCACCAGACTTTCTTCCTTGGAGAAAACAATGTTTGCCCTGAACACCTTGGGAGAGGCAGTTCCATTAAATAGAGGATGGATTCCAGATTTCCAAAGGGCAATGGTGTATGGTTGGAGCCACACCCATGGTCCTGGAAGGACCCACAGAGGACTGGGTGACCTCTGAGATTGTCTTTTACTTTCTATTTCCCCAAACCGTAATACCCTAAGCACAGCTCAGCTTGCTGCCAGGCTTCACTCCTTTCCTGGCATTCTGTACTTCCATGAGGATCCCCAGGCAACCTGAATCTCTCTGGCCCATGGGAAGCAGCAGGGAGACCTTGGTTGCACAGATGAAGTGAGGGGTATTTCAGGCCCCATTTACCCACCTTAACGGGACTTGGGGCAGGAAAAGATGATGTGAAGAGGTGGGGGGGTGATGTCATCACAGGGCTGGTGGTGGATGAGTCCCCTGAAACATTGACAGGTGGCGTGCTGGGCCTCGAGGTCATGTTGGCAACAGAAGTGTTCTCTGGGCTGGTGAGCTCCGTGGTGGTGAATACCGTGGTGTTCAAAGAGGTCCATGATGGGATGGAAGAGTTTGTGGGTTCAGGAACCAGAATGGTTCCAGAGGTAGAAGTGAAGTTGGCTGTAGTCCCTTAAAATAGATCGAAACCCATGCACATCAATCTATGAACACACACATGAACAGACCACCTCTGTTCAGGATGAGGGTATGGACATCTTACCCAGAAATGCAAGTGTGGGATGCTAACAGTTACTTCATGTCCTAGCATGTCGAAGTCTATTCAAGCCAGGTCTCAGAACCATGGCCATGATCTAGAATTTATTCCACAGGGCAGCCCCCCACCCTGAAGAAACCCAAGTGCTACTTTATCCTAGAGAAGTCAAAGATGGGCCATCAACTCTCTTCATTTAGAAGAGGCCAGTCACTTCTCCATGGAGCCCATATCTAATCTTTATTACAACCGAGCTCTACCTGAGAGGAGAGGTACAGGGAACAGTCCCTCCATGGTCAGCTGCCACAGCAGTGGCCTGAGGAAGCTGTCCCTACAGGGAATCATCTCAAACTTACCTCAGCTCGATGCTCACACTACTACTCAGGATGCTTCCTTCCATGGGAAGGGAACAACAGCCTGAATACTCTCCAGGCTTTACCCAGGCACTGCCCTCACCTGAGATGGTGGCTGTGGTCCCTATGCTGTCCACAGAGTCACGCTGGGGGGTGGTACTTCCAGTTGTCACTTGTGTTGTGCTTTTCTGGAGGGGTACACTGGTGGGAACAGGTGACAATGACACTTTCAAGGTGGACTTCTCAGTGGTACCAGTAGTCAGGTTACCATTGGTGAAGCCAGAGGCTGCAGGAAAATAAGGAAGAAAGGTCAGAATGCAAATCTTCCTGGAGTACCACAACATCATTCGACGCAGTCTCCGATTATAGGTGGAACATTTCCTGGAGCCAAGCAACAGAGCAGCAGCCAGAACATCTTCCGGGATGGCAGACTAATTTCGTACTGCTAGATTTTTCCTAAGCAAATAGAAAAGTAAAGTATTAGAGGCACACAAGTGTCTGGTGGGGTTTTTTGTTTGTTTGTTTTGTTTTGTTTTTAAGCAGGGAAAAGTTATAAGCCACAAAATGAAATGTAACAGGATAAATGATATATGCACTAATGTTTTATAATCATTACATAATCATTGCAAATAAAAATCTATGAAACATAGCAAAATGCAAATATAAGGCAATGTTCGTAATGTGATTAGTAAAATACTAAAAGTTTAAAATTACATTTGCATAAATTTTGCAAAGATGAAAAGGTAAGGAAGGACGTGTTTCTAGTTTCCTTTTGATGTCTCTCTTTCGGTCATTCTCTGTCCAATATATTCAATATATTAACTCGAAGTAATCACACTCATTGTAGCTTAGTATCCTTAAAAACATGTACTTCCTACATTTTTTTCATTTCCAAACCCCTCAACCTTTTCTTATGACACTCAGCCCATTTTCCTCCCTTTTGCTTGATACACTCAGCTGCAGTTAACAATCTGAGTTATTTTTATTTTTAGACAGGGTCTTGCTATACAGTTCCGACTGGCCTTGAACTGTGTAGCCCAGGCTGGCCTCACACTCGTGGTGATCCTCCTACCTCAGGCTCCTGAATGCTGGGGTCGCAGTCACGTACCTCCTGGCCCAACTTCTGAGATTTCTCTTTAGCAAGCCTTGACTCACCCAAGTCCTGCCGATGGACTAGAGAATGCAAGGCTTGGTTTCTCATCAAATGTGGAAGGAAGATAACACTGTTTCAGCTCTGCCAGTAACTATGTGATTTGTGTGCCTCAGATTCCTTACCTCATAAATAAGGGTTTTTTCTGTCTACCTTACACAGATTGTCAGGAAAATCAATGAGGTAACAAATGCTAAGTTACTAAGGTGGAATGTCCCCAGTCTAGTCAGTCTTGAGGACTTCATGATTCCATTCCTCTTTCTCACACATACCTTCTTTAGAGTCAGGAGAAAGACTTGTGCCTCAATCCTATGCCTTCCCTCCCTGCCTCCTGTGAGGATGACCTTGTCTTCTGGATCTCACTGGTGACCAGAAGTCCTGGAACTTCTTACTCAAATGGCTCTATTCTCACCTCCTGCCCCTGTGCGGACCTTCTCTCCCAGATCATCTTCCCAAAGTGAACTCCCAGAAGGCAACTACGGCCAAGCGCATGTGTCCTAAGGTGTGATGGTGCCCAGGGATCAGCTGCTTTCAGGGAGCAGGGTCAGCACTCAGGTGTGTTGCTGGGGTGTCCCAAGCACGCATGCAAGATCCCCCAGCGTCTGGACCACAGCGGAGGGTGGAAGGACCAAAAGGCAGAAGGCTAGGGCCAGCACCTAGGTCAGTCACACTGTGCTCTGCATTCTGGGAAACTCCCAAATTCAAACCTGGCCTTCCAAGTGGAAAGAAGGTAGAAGATTATCTTATTTGTCAGTCAGCTGGCCTGACCTGTAACTGTGGCTATGTAGACACAGAGGAACAGCATCTCTGTTGCACTCTGGCATCAGGCCCTGAAGAAACTATGGATAGACTTGTTATCTGGAGTTGATCCTGCAGTACCATCTGCCAGGAAAGGTCCCAGGGCCCCAGGACACCCTCAAGTTTGTCTTTGAATTCTCTCCACTGACATCTAGATCTGTGTTATTTCCATAGGTTTTCCACATTAACCATAGCACAAAACAAGACCTCATTTCCCTCAGCATCAGTTAACCTTAGACGCAGAAAGCATCCCTTCCTGGTGGGGACAGGGTCTCACTCTCCTGCACCTGCCCTCCTCCCAACCTGCTGCAAGGAAAATGACACCCACGGTGAGTGTTGTAGTCACATCACAGTGCGTGTCGGTTGGGGAGGAGGAAGTGACATCGCTGTCTTTGCCTTACAGATGAAGAACCAAAGCCACCAAGGTGTTGGGGGAGAAGGAAGGGCATAAGTCAATCAGGCAAGGGGCAGCGGACACTGAGGTTTAGCTTAATCTTGAGTAGATGTTACCAGGGAGTAAGGCTGGGTCAGCGCCACTGGGGATAAGGAGGTACCTACAACCATCTGAAAGGATGGGTGATTCCCATGTGGCTTAGATGGGAGATGTATCGATCACAATAAATACCTGGAGAAGTCAACCTAGGCTACTTCCATCTTGAGACAGAATCACCTCTCCAATCTGACTCCAAGATATGAATTTATAATGGGGGCACTGGAGGTAATCTTCGGACACTGGATTGAAGGTTCATGTTGTCTGGGCACAGTTCCAAGACACCCCAGGAATTCCCCCTCCTCTGGTCACATCCTCCCTCTTCTCCTCAATACTTCAAATCCTAGGAATCCCATCTGGCTCTGTCTCGCCCAACCTTCTTCCCTCTCCAAAGGAAGCTGGGCCTGGCCAAGATGATGTCATGCTTCGAACCCCTCCCCCAAGGGGCCTCCTTCACCCAGACAAACACTTGTGAACTCTTCCAGATGTGAAGAAAGACCCGCTGCTAGTTTTGAGGACAGAGGTGCCTGTTCCAGAAGAATGAAGCAATTGTGACCCCGACCAGCTGCCGACCTGTTGGTGAGGGCTCCCCACTGCAGCAGCTTCCTCCCTCCCTCCGCAGGGCCAGGCACAGAGGAAGGGGTGGCAGGATCTTTCTGCACATGAAAAGGAAACACCATGCACAGATTCACTGCTTGGAGCCTAGGGTGCCGAGAGTTTGAGACACTGGCAGAATGGGACACTTAGCCGTGACACCGAAGGACTCACAGTGAATGGAGGGAAGCCTAAGAGACAAGCCAAGTGAGCTGGCACAGAACAAAGGACACTAAGGCCACGGGCTGACGTGGGCTCCATTTTATGAGGCTCAGGTGAACAAGTGGGTCTTCCAGGCAAGACCGATTGCTTCTTCCCACACACATGCATGGCCTGAAGTCGTTTAACTGCCTATCTGAGCTTCAGACCCCAAACTCTGAAGGGGTAACAGCAGCCTATCACCAATGAGACCCTGCCAGATGCATAGGGTGGAGGAAGAAACCTTCACTCCATCCCGCTTTCACCAGGAGCACCGCTCACCCCAGCCCTTCAGGGAACTAGGATGACTGACGGCTAAACAGAGGCTGCCTCCATCCTTCTTCCTTAGCTGTGACACTGAAGGACTCACAGTGACCCTAGTTATCCCGACATTTCATCTGTTAAACTTGAAAGGAGAAGGTCAAGGTATCCTGACACCAGCCAAAAGAGATTCTAAGAAGCCAAATGGAAGGCACAGAATATATTACTAAAATTCACTCATTGTGTCGTTACAGTGCTGTTCAGAGGGACACACAGTCTGGTAAGCGTGGAGATCTGATATCCTAGCCAAAGCTGAAACTTAGGAAGAGACTACCAGAAACATTTAACAGCTAGAAACCAAAATGAATGAAAAACAGACGTAAGTGCCAAACCTACACTGGTCCGGAATCGTTTACCAGAGGGGGTAATAGATGCACACATCTTGCTAAGGATTAACAATGTCCCTAAATCTCAAGGCCTCTGCACTGAGCTAACCCCCCAATCTTTTCATTCTTTTGGGACAAAGTTTTCCTAAGTTGTTAAGTTGGCTGAACTGCTCTGGAACTCGTGGCTCTCCTGCCTCATCCTCCTGAAAAACTGGGACTTCGATAAGCACTGCCATGCATGACATCATGAGACATCCAGGAGTCTATAGATGTCTCAGGCAGAAGGCCTGAGAAACAAGGACCTCTCAGTTTTGCAGGCAGCAGATTGCAATGCTTCTCTCTGGCCAGGCATGTAATCCGAGCACTTTGGAGGCTGGGGCAGGAAGACTGCTGCACATTCAAGGCCAGCTTGGGGTACACAGTGGGACTCTATCTCAAAAAGACAAAAAAAGAAAAAAACCAAAACCAACTCTTCCAAGTTTCCTAACCTTGAGAAGTGGTCTTGGTTCATCTTTGTGAATTTCGCCTAATAGGGGGTTAAAAGCAGAGCCTCCCACTCCTAGCCGCTCTGAGGAGCCAAGGAGACCACGCAGTGGGCCTGTCTGGGAACTGATCAGAACTCTGCAGCCCCATCACCCTAACCCTTCCTTTGCTTCCCAGATGGTTGCAGACTTATCTTGAGCACCCATCTGGCACGGGGACAGATGCTGCTTCCTCAGGACTGTGCTAACGGTCCCAGTAAGACAGCTCGCTCCTTAGACCGTTGCAGGAAGGTGGGACATGCAGCAGGGTGAGCAGCACCATGCTGGGGGAGCTCACAGGTCCAAGGATGACCAGGCAGAGCAGAGTTCTACCAAGTGACCAACTGTGAGTCATGGAACAAATCCAGTGCAGGGCTGGTGAGAGAAGTGTTATAACACAAAGGAGAGTAAGTATCAGAAGCCACACACGGCTTCCAAGACCCCAAATATTTACTGTCTGGCCTTGACATGAAAAGTTTGCTGACCCTTGATCTAAGAAAGAAGAATTTGGAGAGGGAAAATAAATGACTTTCTCCAAGATTCGTTTCACCTAACATATGGAGTGTATTTTCCCGTCTTAGACACCTATGTAGGCCAGAGACCTTGCTCAGTCTTGTGGCAAGCACAAAATCAGAGCTGACTCCATGCCTTCCCTGCAGTGGGCATTAGTGTCACTGGAATTTAAACAAGTCCCTTGAGGAATTTATAACCCAGCAGTCCCAAAAGTCTTTAGGAATTTTCATGAAGGACCAGATTAAAACTGTGACAATCCAAATCACAGAATTAGCACAATGGTTAGAAATTATGGGAAGGCTAATTCCACCACAATACAAGGAGGAAAAACCAAATGCTCTTTTTTTTAAAAAAGGATGAGCTGCTTTGGAGGATTAAATGAGCTCCGCTTTCCCCTGGAAGCATTTGGGAAATGTTCCTGTTAAGGAGCCTTTCAATCCTGCGTCCAAGCATGAGTTTGAGTCATTTTGGAACAAAAGGTTGGGTGAGAGCTGTTCTCAGTTTCCGAGGCTACACTGGGATGAGAAGAGGGCAATCCAAGTGTCTAGTCCTGGCCCTTCCAGGGTCCTGGGATTCCCCTTCTGACACCGGCTGCACACCATACCCTGAGGCTATCCAACATCCCAAGGACTCACAGGTTGCCGGCTTGTCTCCCACTTGCCTCTTCCTGTCCTATTGCCTCTGACTCTCAGATGGAGGTCCAAGGCCGCCCTGTCCTGCACAACTGTACCGTAAGCTCACCAAGGAGTTTATAACCCAGTTTATAACCCATGCCATACCAGGCCAGTGCATGTCACCACAAGACCACAAAGGAAGATTACAGGGTAGTACAAAAGAAAACAACATAATCTTGAATCGTGAGGCATTTTGCCTGAGCCCTAAGGAAGCTATGCTGTAAGGAATCTCCAAGCTAGTTCTTTTCCACTCTACCCTAATCTTTGTTCCTTTACTGCTGTAGGCACCTCCTCCCCTTCCTGCATTTCTCTCTCTGGGCTCCAGAGCCCTTCATTCCCGTCTCCTGGACCCACCCCAATACAAGGTCCACTTTATCATCTGGCCTCCACAGTGCCCTTGTACATCATGGTTTGGTCACTTTTCACTCACAGACCCACTAACACATTTTCTTAAACAATGGGGCCAGCGACTTAGATGTGACACTCCCCCAGAGGTATAGGTTTTTAATTTTTTTTCCAAATCAGGAAGGAGCTGACTTCCCCCTTAAGCCAGTAGTTCTTTTCCTTTGCACATGAGGGGAAGTGATTCATTCCCTGATGGGGTCCGGCATGCAAGTCTGCTCTGCCAGCCCATTTGGTTCTCCACCCTTCCGAGATGCATCTTTGTTCTTATAGCACAAAATCAGGGCCCTTGAGACCAACTATCATAGAGAATGTGTTTTCATTTCTTAGCTAAGGAGGGAAGAAAATGTTCTCATTACAGAAGTAAAAGTCTCAGAAATATGGAAATTCTGCCCTGAAGATTTCTCCTGGAGGGTAGTTTCTGGTTCTATTTTCCATATTTTTACATTTGTACATTTCCACATTGTAGGCTATTTCATCAGAGCAACTAAAATCAGCAAGAGAGAAGCCCCAGTACCCTGAAAGTCCCGGTGGCCCAGCCAGCCCCAGACCAAGCCAAGTCCTGGCTCTATAGTCCAGGGCAGAAAGGAAACCAGGCAGGCAGACCATTTGAAGTGGGATTTGTTCTTTCCCATTACTTGTTTTTGTAGGGCTCTCTGCTCCAGAGTTTATCAGCTGCAGTTTGGCACTTCTGGCCCCAGCTCTCAGAGACAAAGACTTGGAAAGGAAGGTGATGAAGACAAGTGAATGAGGAGGCCCAGGAGGTGGAGCCAAAGGGATAAGGAAAGCCAACAGGAATGCTGCTAGGGACGGTGCCCTAGCTTGGAAAGGTTGGTCTTACAAGGGGGAGTACTGGTGACCACTAAATTAGTCAGAGGTCCCCAGGGCTTCTCCTCCTCTTCGATGTCGCCATGTGGCATAAAGTCAAAGGGTGGAGTCCTCTCCCCTCTGGAAAATAGCTGATAAAATTCTTTTCTCTTTTCTTTTTCTCCGTCTTACATGTAGCCCTGGACAGGATATGGGTGTGGGGTCAAAAAGCATGACAGATGCAAAGAAAGAAAAGAAATATGACCATGCAGGCCTGGGATATTGTCAGGGTGAGGGGACAGGCTTGCCTCTGGAGAAGAGATGCCTGGAGCCTGATGAAAGGGACTTGATAACTCCTCTCAGGGCTCTGTCCCAGTGCGTCTGTGCAGCATTGCCTGGTGGACCCCAGCCCCAATCCAGACTCTGATCTACAATCAAGTTTACCTCATACAAAAAGAACTCACTAGTGATTGACCTTTGTGTGTCTCAGCCCACACCAACATCTCATAGACACAGAAAAGAGATCTCCCAGGCAAGCTCTTTGTTGGGGTAGTAATTTAAAAAACACAGAACCCCTTTCTGCACTGAATTCCCCAAGAATCACAGAGCCCACTTGTTGCGATGCCCACTGATGGTATTTCCAGGGAGTCACACCCTTTCACTTGCCCCACAATGCACCTCAGGTCAGAAAACAACTCCCAGCCTCAAGAAACAAAACAAAAACTCTCGGGAGTGCTTGGGGAAGACACAAAGCTAGAACTGGCCCAAGTCATCTGGCAAGGTTGGGCCTAGAGAGCTATGTCCCACCCTTGGCTCCAAAGCTGAGTCCATAAAGTTCCAGTATCTCTGCCCAGTTTTGCAGAAGCTGCTGCTTCTCTTTCCCCACCTCTGAAGGCCAACGTGAGACTGCAGCTGCCCCACTTGAGGAAATAAGGGACAGGTGGACCTTAAGGGGACTGGGCCCAGTCATCAAGAGCTGTGAAATCAAAGGAGGGCGGTATGAGCTGGACATCTGAGCCCAACACCCACTCAGCCGGCTGTGGGTACACAGACTGGCACTCACTGTAAGGCTTCAAGCCCTCCACAAGAGCTTCATCCTGTCTCAAAGGACATGCCCTGAACTACTACACAGGCCACCCAAACCTCACTCAGTGGTCTCCAGCCACAGCCAGTTGTCTGTGGACATTTAACAGAGGAGACTGGGAACATAGACTGGCGGGCGGGTCCAGCTCACTCTGCAGGTCCAGGTGGCCTTTAAGATTGATAAGTGTAAGAAACTGGCAGCCCTGGAGGATTAGATGCAAAAGAGAGGGCAGGTTACAAAATTCCAAACCTCTAGGTGCAGATCCGATGTGCCTATGTCTCTTTTCTCCTCCCACAGTGAAACTGGGCTTAAGAAATAGGCGTAGGTGTGTGAGTGCACATTGGGAGTGTGCTAACCTGTCCACTAGCTTTAGAACTCGGCGGGGGCCGGGAAGAACAGTTTGGAAGGTAGCAAGTTTGAGTCTGTGCAGGAATCTGAGTAGCAGCAAGAGGAAGGAGGCGGGTGTATACCATGTTCTACCACCCCCCTCCATACGGCATGGTATTTACAGGGATGACTCCAACTTAGCTTCCTAATCTTGACCGCAAGATACGCCCCCCCCCACACACACACGGTTTTCATTCCAGGTTTCTCTGGTCACTCACATGGCCTTGTCCTCCCAACCTCCGGGGTGCTGGACCCTGCGCCCGCCCCTGAGCTTCCCTCGCGTCCCTTAATGGTCACTCTGGGCTCCAGGGTCGTGAGAGACTGTGGGCACCTGGATCTGCCCCAGCACCCCCCTCCCCTCTGGCCGCTGCTTTCCGAGGCCCCAGAACTTCCCAGCTTCTCTCCACCCCCTTTCAGGTTCTGGCTCCGACTGTGCACCTCTGGCACCAAGAGCCACTGGCATCTCCAAAGCGTGTTATTCCAGCGCACCGCAGCGCGCCCCGGCTCACTCTCCCTCTGCGGTGGCCGTCCCTTCCCTCCCACCTCCCCCGTCCCCAGGTGAGTCGCTGGTCGCCCGCTGGGCGGCCTTGGGCCGGCGACGGCGCTTGGGCATAGGTGTCGAAGGGGTCCCTTCCCGGGCGCCCCAGCCCGGCTCGCGATACTCACGCAGCAGGCTCAGGAGGCAGAGCGCGGCGCAGCCCCACGGCACCCCGCGCCCCTCGCGCGCGCTCCTGCGGGCCAGCATCCTTCCGCGCCGCGGCCGCCAAGAGGAGCAGTGCAGCGGCCGCGCGGCCCGGCCGGACGTCTATCGCGCCCCTCCCCCGGGAGGGGCTGGGGGTGGGGGTTGCCGCTCCCCTCCCCTCCTCCTCCTCCTCCTCCTCCAGTCTGGGCGAGGCCGGCCCCTTGCCTTGGCTGCGGCTGACCGAGCTTCCCGGGTTAGTCCTGAGGCCAGCGCAGAAGCGGGGCCCCGAGAAGGTGGAGGACTGAGCACCCGGGCGCCTGGCCCGCTTTTTGCTGAGGCCCGCGGGGTCAAGCTGGATCTCCCCTCGCTTGACCCTGGGTCAGCTTGGCCACGACTCCTCTGGTCCCCGCCACGCACTTTTCCTTATGTTTCTACTTATTTTTAAGTTTTAACCCATTTACAATGACTTTTGGGAAAGGAATCACTGTGCGGGACTGAGTTTATGAATGGGAGTATTCTGATCGCCAGGCAGAGTTCCCCACAAGCCCGGTGCGACTCCCTGAATGAGCATCGCGGGCGAGGCTCCACTGAGACAGAGCGGAACACACAAATGATTGATCATCAATGTAGTCATCCATCGCACTCTCGCAGACTTCTTTCCCTCTCATTTCTGCAAGATCTACAGTACTGGATTGATGTGGAGAATTCTGGCTCCCAGTAACTGACCACATTTACCCAACAGGATTGAGGGGAACAGTTGCAGCAGCCACCCAGAGGAGGGACTCCAGAAATGCCTGGGAAGCCCTCTCCATCAGCTTCTCTCCAGCCCTGGTTCAAGCTTCTCGGGGTCTTATTGCTCTCTCTTCGGGAAAAGGACTGGGGGTGTTGGTTGTCAAATGCACTGACATTTGTCCTGTTGTGGTCCCAGTCGTGGAGAAGGGAAGCCTCAAACCAAAGAGAAGTGGGGAGAAACTCCCACCTCCACCATTAACTTTGCCCAGGTTGTGGGAAGCAAAGCTGGAAGGGAAAGGTGCCAGGCTGGGCAGATCTTGGCACCTCGTATCTGGTGAGAAAACACGCTCTGATTCCTGACCACAAAATCAGATAGAAATTAATACAGGGCCAGAGAGGGCCAGGCCTGTCAAGGAAGTCAGCAGAAGGAAGAAAGATGTCAGAACTGTGGCTGGAGATGCATCTGAGGAAGACCAGGCCTCAAGATAAAGATGATATAGTCAGGCCTAACACTTCCCCTAAGGGATAAGCAGTGACTTGAGATTATATTAGGACTGGCATCATCTAGTCCAGGAAGTCTACATAGGCATTAGCCACTCTGCAGCTACGTGACAGGTCACGTGAAGGGCCATTTGGATCCCCAAGTCTCATCACCCAATTCTGGCATCCTCACCACAGCTTCCCACAAGAATGGGTTCTGGCCACTGGTAAAGTCCACTCAGGGACCAAGGCCAGATGGAGCTACCATAGAAGATGACCTGGGCACCTCCCCTTGAATGCAGAGCAATTGCTTCATCATTAGTTAAAGCGAGTCTTATTTCCATGTACTGATATGTAGATCTGGCTATTCCATTTCTTTCTATCTACAGTTGGCTCTAAGCAATGCACATAAGGTTAGGATAGCTCCAGGGCTGTCAGTGGGGTGAGAACCTCAAAATAAGAGGCTATGACTTCCCTCAAGTGAAGCCGCAGCCTCCTAAATTCACTCACATGCTGTCCCAGTGGAGCCATGCAGACTGATCCTTCTGTGTATCTTTCTCCCCGCATACTGCAGAGGTGCCTGCTCCCACCTGGCCAGCTCAGCTCACTTGCTCTTCTAATTCCTGCCATCCTCACTGTCACTCATCCTTCAACCACTCCCTTCTTTATGAGATAATAAATTCTGGGAGAGGCCTTAAATCAAGGTCTTTGTTCATACATCTTCACTTGGATTGGACACAGGACCGTTGGCTGCCCATAACTTTGAATATGGCTTAGTGACTTTACCCTTGCCATGGGTTGCACTGGAGGTGGTACATTGAAATTAATTTGCCAGGATTCCAATAACATTTCTACAGGATTACAAATATAACTTTCTGGAATATGAGGTAGACTGGAAAAGGGATTACAATATTTGAATTACAATATACAATATTTGGGTTACAATAAGCTACCATGATTCTCCAGACCACACCCCATGTCCTACTCCAATGCCTAAGCTGTTGCTAGAAGAGGTTGTGAGCCACACTAACCACAGAAGGTATAGCAGAATATACCAAGCAAGAAAGTTCCTTTATAGACCTTTGTTGATTATGACTTCTCTTACTAGTCATTGTTTGCCTCTTCAATTCCACACCACCCCAAAATATGCATATTCCATGCCAATTTAAAAACAGGCCCTCAATCCCTTGTTAAGTATAACATTATTGATGTGAAAAAAAGCCTTAGTTCATTTTCCTTTGCTATAAGAAGTACCTGAGATTGGGTAATTTATAAAGAACTTTATAAAGAGGCTTGTTTTGACTCCTTAGCTATGCAAGAGCATAGCCCGTGTGCATCTACTTGGCGTCTGTGAGGGCCTCCTCACTATCACAATGCTAGTGGAAAAGTTAACTCCCGACCTGTTAGGTCTTCAAATGTGCCAAGCTTATGGTCTCACTATCTTGGAGGAATGAAGTTGTAGGTCAAAGGAGGACGTTAGGGGAGTTTTATTGGAAATAAGGGGAGAAGAAGAGCTCCGAGATTTTCAGGAGAGGTCCAAGTGGTTGGCCACCAAGGCCTGGGGAAGGAGTGGTAGTAATTTATACAGCCAAATTACAGTGGGGATAGAATGTGTGTCAAAGTAAGTAGATAATATTGATCCAGTAGGGACACAAATCATCCATTATATAGCCAAGGAATATAGAAAGATCAAAGTAATTTTTGGAAAGGGGAAGGAGTGTTGGTCAGGTGTTTTGCTCACCCACTGTAAGTAACAGATTCCTATCAAGTGAACCAGATACTGCTAATTATAGTATAATCTCAAATTGCTGTTTTTCTCTAGGGACAGGAGGCCTGTAGGCCTGGGCTATTGTTTTTCTGTCCTGAGGCCTGGCTCTTTTCAAATTTGCCTTGAGCTATAATTCAAATGTCTCTAATTTTTGTGCTGACTTCGTTTAGAGTCCAGTGCCACTCTTGGACTGTATATTAACTCCTATCTTAACTTAGCTGTCTATAATAATAACATGGAAGAGAGTATTGCATGGCAAGACAGAGCAAGCCAGCCACATTTATAGCAAAGCCATTCCTTCAGTGACCAGTTAATCCTTGGATCTGTGCATGGTTTGCTCTCCAGGAGTAGAGCCCCAGTCATCTAGCAAAAGGTACCACTTCCAAATCAGAACATATTTGAGGATTCAGTTTCCAACGTGTGAAATTTGAGGGACTCACTCAAAACATAGAAGTAAAAGATTTTGATAATTCTGAGTTTTAAAAAATATTCGTTTTATCTTTGTTATATGAACTTTATTGCATTTATATAGAACTATTAAAGAGTTGAATTGTAATTTACAAGTTGACTAAGTTTATCTTTTGTAGTCACTTAATGAATAATTTGTTAATTTTTATCTTTCCAGTTTCATGGTTTGGAACCAAGATTTTTTTCCTTGTGTGCCTGACTTTTGGAGGGTTTTAGAAAGAGCTCGGGTTTGGTTTCAATGTAGCAGGAAGGATCCTTACTGGTGTGGGTGTTAGGTTGCTGGGAGAACCTGTATCCTCCAGGGAGTTCCGGCTTTTCTACTTCTGCCTGCCAGTCTCTCTCCAGTGCCTCCTTTTAGCAGTATCAAACTGGAAACCGGCAGATGGAGGATCTGGAAATGTGGCAGACTGACCCACAGCCCCACTTTCCCGCGGGAAGTTACCTCAGGACAGCAGCTGCCTCTGTGAGAAGCAGGCTTTGGAGAGGACACAAAACCAGACTCAGACCAGATTGTAACGATCAGACCACAAAGGTTAATTCATGGGTCTCTTTAAGACACTCAGCTGGACCAAGAGGCAAGAGTTGGAGCTGGATAACAGCCTAGAAGGACCACATTAGCTGAGTCTTGTATTTCCCTCTAGAGTGATAATATCATTTTGAGGACCGGCATAGAGATGCAGGAAGGCAGTCAGCAAGTGGGAGACACTTGGAATCCATCTGTATTTGCTTTATTATGAGGTACAGGAACAAGGAAGCCCAGCCTTAGGTCATCAGTGTTCTGGGCAGCCCCCCTCCCTGTCTGCAGTTTTGAGTCAGAGGATGTAGGAATCAGAATGCTGTCACCAACGCAAAATGACATAGCTATTGGTGCAGGGGTGGCATGGTCTGTATCTTGGAACTCATGGTTTGCTTTTTCTACCCGCTTTTACCTGTGCCAATCTAGTGTATTTCACTCATTTGTAACACATCTCATTTATTCTGATTTTACAGGTCTTACCCGCTTACATTGACTGACTACTTTTAGCATGTCTTCTAAATTCTGCCTGTCTTGTGAGTTGCTTGCTTACATATGATCTGTAGTTGTATCAGTCAGCTTTCATTACTGGGACAAAACACGTGTCAAACATAACTTAAAGCAGAAAGGCATTGTTGAGGCTCATGTTTCAGTATATGATCTGCTGCGTCCACGGGAGAAGCATCCTGGTGGAGGGAGAGGAAAGTGGATCTGCTCATAGTAGCCAGGAAGCAGAGCAGAGGAAGAGCCAGAGAGCAAGGGATCAGGAGCCAGGCCGACCTAGACCGCAGGATCACAGCCACTCAGACACATCCAGACATATGCTTTACTAATTAATATGATGGTGTCTCTTAAGCCAGTCCAATTGACAGTCACAATTAAACCTCATGGTAGTTAATAAATCCAATGAGCTCTGCCTGTCCTGTTCACTTTCCTTGGTCTCAGTAGCAGAACTGAACCTCCTTGGGTGGTCCAGCAAACCCTTATTATACTATGATCTGATAGAGAGGAGTATGGAAGGGTGAGCTCAGGGATCTGGTGCTGGGGTCTCTGTCCGTCAGTCAGCAAATGCTTCCCACGGCCTTTGCTGTATCTCTACTGTGGTTTTCACCAAGTTCCAGTACCCAAAGGGGCAAATGCTTCTTAGAAGCACCTTAGCTATCGTTAGATTGAGTA